TATTTAATCGATGGCTCAATTTCGAGCGTTTAATTAAGGGTCTGCATCGTGCTTAATTCAATGTCTCTATCGTCGCGCCGCGGACGATTTCTAGACGCTATCGGTGGTATCTCGTTTCCCTTTGCGTGGAAATTCAAATGCGCAGGACGATCCCTTCACCCTTCACGGCGGTCCCTTTTCCCGCGCCACTCACAGTAGCTTGATTACAGTCGCGAAACTCCATTGTCACTCCCGCGCAAACTCATTTGATTTCTCTCGACGCTTTTTCGACGATTGCTATGTTTGCTGGGAAGGAGGTGAGAACGAAGGGACCAAAACGGGGAATACGAGGATGAACGTTTGGGAGAATCGACGAATCTCTCCGTAAATTTACAGCTTTTAGAATAACGAAATAATTAGTTTTTTATTTATGAATCGGCATGCTAATTTGCAACAATCTGATCTCTCTTTGCTACGAAAGCAAATTCTCGACATTCGATGTTATAATGAGTATGAAGTAAGTTTTTCAACTTTTTCAACAATAACCTGTGTAATTCTAAAATAATATGAGACACAGGCATTTATTTCTCTTTATTTTAATTTGAAGAAATATATATATATGTGTATAGGTTTATTGTAGTCTAATTAAAAATTGTAGTCGAATATATTTCCGCTTTTAATCTAATTTCGATGAGAAGTCTGCATTTCATTTTGGAAGAAAGACAATTCTTTTGTGAATTAAAAAGTGTACGTATATATATTTCATGACTTTTGCTTTTAATATCGGAGGAAAAATAGCAAAATGGAAACAATATCTGTGTTATCAGAAAAAATTGAGAATACTTTTTTTATATAAAAAAATTTTATACATGAAAACTTTATATATTTCAAAGCAAAAAGAAACATGACAATATAATAATATAATAATAATTTATGTATTAGATGTACAACTTTGCTTCCGCCGTTTTTTTCCGAAATTCGTGGCTTTATTGTAAAAAACTGGTTATACATTTATGATTCAAAGTATTGTCCATCCCTGGCCACTACTTTCTCCCATCTTTCGGGTAGCGTACGAATCCCGCGTCGAAAAAACTGGTCATCTTTTGAGGCTCCACGAATCGATCCAATTTTTTACTTCTTCATAAGACCGGAAGTGCTGGTCAGCCAGGTCGTGTGCCATTGATCGAAACAAGTGATAGTCAGAGGGAGCAACGTCTGGAGAATACGGCGGTGGAGTAGGACTTCCCATTTCAACGTTTCCAAGTATGTCTTGACCACTTTCGCAACATGGGGTCGAGCATTGTCATGCTGCAAAATCACTTTATCGTCTCTCGTTGTATTGCGGCCGTTTGTCTTTCAATGCTCGGCTCAAACGCATCAATTGCATTCGATACCGATCGCCTGTGATTGTTTCAGTCGGTTTTAACAATTCATAATACACTACGTCGAGCTGGTTCCACCAAATACAGAGCATGACCTTGGACGTCAAAATCACCGTTCTTAAAGCGTTGAAACCACTCACGACACGTTCTTTCACTAATAGCGGCCTCACAATAAGTATTTGAGAGCATTCGATGAGCCTCAGCTGTAGATTTCTTCATATTGAAGCAAAAAATTAAAACCTCCCGCAAATGACGAGA